AAAAACCACCACTTGTTATTAACCTGGCTCCCAAACAACTTCCCTTTCTTCTTCCTTTGCAATGCTTGAAATACCACGTCCAAGTGACACCTTGTCACAACAGGGCAGAAGTACTTGGCCCCGATACATCTGTGTGAAATCAGAGATAAGTGAACATACATCTCCCTTTGCCGGAGCCGTAGGTGCACACACCCATCGTGAGGACAAGGCTGGCGAGACAGCTGCCGCACGGGGCAGCCCGAACCCTCCTTTTGGGGACTCTGACCCTCTTTCAGTGCTTGCGTTCATACACAGCAATTCATTTGCCTTGTGAGTCACCAAGAGTTAATTTCTTCCTAAATCACAATTCAGAACACCCCATCTAGCCAAAGACCTCCGTCATTAAAAAGAGAATCATACTAATACACGAGGTATTTATAAAAAGATCCTAATCTTTGCTGCCATCAGTCCTGATACTATCCCAATTAACAACCAAATTAATATCGACGCTGGTGCCCAATCCTCCATGGGGAGAACGAAGTTTTCTTCCAGCCACACACCAAGTCTCAGCCAGCAAGAGAGAGCTGTGTTTATTTTCCCAGGGCCAGCCCCGCACCGATTCTCTCGCCCCTCGGCTGTGGGGGAGCGGCGAGAGGAAGCGGCTGTGTTTTGGATCTGCCTCCCACACACAGCCGAGCAGCTTCGGGGTTGTTTAATCCTACGCTCGGTGCAAGGGCTGGGGATGGTCTGTTTGACGGAGGGGGGGCCAAGGCGTGTGAGACCCGGCACGCTTCCCCATCCCCTGGCTTCAAAGCGCTGAACCAGCTGCTCTCATCCCCTCCAGGAGCCCCTAGCAGGAGCGGGGGGGACCACGAGGTGCCAAATGGCTGCTGCACGGCATCCCCCCATGAGTCTTCCCCAGTTTCCCCAAATGTAACAAAGCTGTCCTCCAAATGATGCTTTCTGTCCAACAGCTGACCATAAATGAAAGTACAAACAAAACTTAATGGAGCGCGAAGCCTCATATGACAAGGAAAATTCCCGCTCCAGTTCTGATCTCTGTTTACAACGTCAAAAGTGGGTCAAACTGGTCTGCGATGGAGGAATCTGTTTGGAAGACAATCTCTGCGAGGAAAAGCATCTAAGCGGCAGATGACCGCACTGCAATGCTTCCACAGGGATCCTCTCCCCTGCCATCGAAGTAACTCAATTTTACAGTGCAGGGTTGAAATCCTGTAACTTGAAACCATGGCTTTTCATTCAAAGGACTTGAATTCAGCAATTCCCTACCTTTTAGAGCAGATCAACTGACCACTGTGTTTCAGCACGCATCTCTGCGCTTTAAAAAACTAAGACATGGCTGGGTTTGGTCAGGGTGGGGGAAGCTGTTGTGGTTTTTGTTGGTTTTGTGGTTTGGGGTTTTTTTTCAAGTAACTGGTCTCCCTTTTGTTCCTTTCCTGTGTTTGGGGTAAGGCTTTGAGCAGTACCATCACACTGCCTAACCCAACTATTTTGTTTTACCCTGTCATGGTCTCTCTCAAAATGCAAAGGAATCGCAACGATGTTAAATGGGAGCCCCAACATGAAAGAAGCAGTCTGTAGTAACATTGCTTTCCAAAGTATTTTTGTTCAAGAGTTCTTGGGATCTGGTGAATTTAATATCTGTCCTTAGCTGTTGTTCAAGATAGAAGATGACTAACGTAAACAAATTTAGCCAAAACTTCCTGACAAGAAGCTCTGTACGTTGTTCTGTGCAAGGATGGTACACAAATACACAGCAGTCTAAAGGAAGAACATACTAACCAGCCTTGAAACCCACTAATTTGTTTTATCGACTTGAGAAAAATCTGTTCTTTGACCTTCAAGTGCTTGATTTCTTTTATGATCACATAACCTTTATTTATTAAAAACCTTCTACTAATTACTCTCAGGGTACCCAGAGGCTTTAAAAAAGCACAAAATATCAAAAAATGTATTATTGCATTCCTGCACATATTGAATCCTCTTTCTAAACAGTTTTTGAAAGAAAGAAATGCATTTATAGCATTTTCTAGAAAACATCTTAAAAAAACCCCAACTGATAAACATTCCTTCTTATTTCTAACTTCTTTTTTTTTTTTTTAAATGTTCTCTTTGGGTTTAGTTACTACTATGTATTTACATAAAAACGAGCTCTGTGAGTCTGCAAAGTGTCTGCTGATGTCAGATATTTACAGAAAGTTATGATCTCAAGTGATTTTAAGAACTGAATGAGTCTACATCTGTGGGACAAACCTTTTATCTTTTAGACTTCAAAAATGTCCAGTTCGACCTGGGGGCTTTCAGGACAAATAAGGAATGAAAGGGCTCATATTTAAAATGCACTCAATAAAAAAAAAAAAAAACCTAATGAACAGTAGCAGCAAAAAAGACATTGAAAAAATAACATAATACAGGGAAGGATGTAAATTTTATATTTTTTTATTAGCAAACAAAAAAAAAGTAAGTATCATGGAAATAGTTCAGACTTATAACAGCAGCTGAGAGCATGAAAGAAGTATCTGGTATATACTCTGAGTCTGCAGAAAAAGAATATTCACAAAGTTGGATGGGAAAATGAGTTCATGAGTCTCTCAGACGCACCTATGAATTAGAAAGCGCAACGTGAAAGGCCCAGAAAAAAAAGTACAGTTCGCTCGCAAAAAAAATAAAAAAGCACCTAATAAAAAAAAAAAAATTAAAAAAGGATGATTTCTCCCCAGCCAGACTTTACCTAAGCCAAAGCCGGAGGAGACACACTAGGTTGGCAGGCACCTCCGGCAGCCGCCCGTCCCAGCGCCCTGCTCAACGCGGGGCGAGCTCGGGGAGGTGGGAGGCTGCGACGCGCCAGCGTTCCTCCTGCCCTGGCTCCCGTCCCAGCCCACGCACCACCCACCGCAAACCCCGCGCCACGAGGTCCGTGAGAAGCCCCCGACGGCCCTTGGCAGGCCAGGCCGGTGGTGGGGTAGGCTGTGGGGAGCTGTGCCCCCCTGCAAACCCTCCTCTGGGTGTGGGTGCCGTGGAGGGACCCCCTGCCCAAGCATCAGAGGTGTTCGCTCCTCTGACGTGAAGAGAGAAGAGAGCCTCTCATTCACACTAACAGAGCTGTCCCTAGTTATACCATACACGGAAAAACACGTTAACTTGGGAAACACTGTTCTAACACTTATTCCTGTCATGCTCTTTTATTTATTTCACTGTTCAGTAGCGCCCATTTCCCAAATTGAGTTCAGGACCCCATTTTGCAAGGCTTGACATCTGCACAAGGGGAAAAACTTTTTTCTGCCCCGAAGCTCAGGACCCAAAGCCACAGGATTTTGGAGAGATGCTCTCAGAGAACGCCTTGAGCGGCACGGCCAGATGGGCTGCCCAGACCCTCCTTGGACTTGGTGCCACCAGGCAAGAGAACCTGGGGGCGAGGAGGCACAGGCAGAGCCTGCCCAAGCGGGTGGGTGGCCAGGCGGGGGGATCCCCACGCCAAGGGGGTCCCTGCCCTCCGCCCCACATCACACGTGTCACCTCGGCTCCCGAGCTGCAGTTTACAGCCCAGCGCACCGGACAGCAGCTCGCACCTCACGCACCACGGCCGCAAAGCCGCAGAGCCTCGGGGGGGGAGACACGTCCTCTTCGGCTCTATCACACAAACAGCCACTTTTGGGAAAGCGGTGGCTTCGGCTGTCCCAGCTAGCTCCGCCAGTCGCCGTGGTGGACCCCGAGGTAGCCAGGCTCACACCACCGCCAACACGCTGCCCTTGCTCTCGTTGCTTCCATTGCCCATCGGTAGCACCATGGGCTCCCACAGGGTTTCCGTATCCCCACGCCGCCTCCTAATTTGCTTGTGCCTTTAGGGGGGGCAGGAACGACCTACTACAGCCAGCAGAGCAGGACTCCACTCCAGAGCCAGGACCTCCACGCTACAGTACAACACAAACCAGTAACAACCCCAGTCGGCGGGAGACTGAAGAACTGAAGGGAGACAGTCCAGTCCAGTGCCCTACCGAGCTCAAAGCACTGGTTTTCAACTTTGTGGGTCGGCGGACTACTTGAAGAAGAGCCACCAAAGGTAAGAAGCAGCGCATTGTCAGCAGGCTCCAATGCATGGAGTGGTCTGCCAACTGCAAAAGGTGAAAAATGCAAGTTTTCCCATCAGCATAGCTGATGACCTTCATCAGTCTTCTCCTCACTACCTTGCATCGGCTCCTAAGGAAAGTTTTGGCAACACACGGGTCGCTACGCTGTTGAACGCCAGGTGAGACAACTGGATTGTCCCAAGTCTCGGGGCACAGTACCAAAAATAAAACCCCTCCCCTCTAGTTGAGCTACGACGGGAATTACGTACGCACACATAACACATAAAAGTTACCTGACAGAGTACATTTTCTTCAAACGCAACGCAGGAGAGAGCTGCGACGCGTTTTTTCACCCCGAAAAGAACGAGATGTTTTCTCCACAGGCTACCAAGCAGCAGAAGACCCAAATAACGCTAAAACAGCCTTCAGGAAAACGAAGCATCAAACACTAAGATGTCCTTCAGGGGCTGGGAGGGATGAGCTGAATCACCTCCCGAGCGAGGTGAGGCAACGACTATTCCAGCAGTTGCGTAGACAAGTTTGCAGCCGGTTCGTGGCACGCCAGGAAAGATCCGTAACTCCCCCCCCTCAAAAAAATGCTTCTCCCATGCACAGCCAGGACTCCGATGTGGAGAGCGAAGCGTTTTCTTACGGAAAACACTTGGAAAACCGCGGCCCTCAAGGGAGAAGCCCTCTTCAGCCAGGCTGCCCCCCCCCACGGGCGCACCCCCACCACCTCCCCCTCAACCTCGGGCCCGGGG